GTTGAGCATGGAAATCTGGCAGCAACCAACATGAGCACACTGCTTTTGAACCAACCAGCACAGTTTTTTTTTGCTGATCCGCAACGGTGCCGGTGGTGAGGTGAGGTGATTTTTCCTCTTGTGGTAAGGCAAATGGGCTTTGAAAATATGAACCCCTGGCTGTTGTAGAGGTTAATGGGAAACTTTTCGGACCCAAAAACCGCCAAAACAACCATCCAAAGCACCAATTGGAGCAGGGCTCCTTAAAAGATACGTTTTGCAACCATTTGAAACATGTGGCTTTTTCCGTACCAAAATAAAGGGACACCACTATTTACAAGTTGCAATGCTCAGGTGTATAATGCAAGGATCCCTGTAGGGAAACCGAAAGAAAAGACCTGCGTTTGGATGATTTTTACAAGTGCAGCCAAGATGCAACCGCCAGAGGCTCGTGTTGAACCAGCCAGTTCGCCAGGAGGGCAGGTACATCCGGCACTGGATCCCGGAGCTGCGTGCGGCTGCCAAGGGAAAGCGAAGCAAAAGGACGTGGCTCGTTCTTCGTGAGACGGAAGCCTACAAACATACCGCATAGATGTCCTTGTTGGTTGTTTTTGTAAAGAAACATTCATGGCTCTGGTTGAAGGGCCGTCCAGGTATTTTCCAAAAAGGACACTTATGCATACAGGTCGTAGAGATGTCCTTTTGGTGTTTCATCGTCCAGGGCCATCCATGTTCCCAAAGGAGCCCTGCGAATTAACATATTGACCTGGAAGGGCCAAGCATGAGAACGGGGCCCATGGAACTCGAGAGAAATGGCGGCTGGGGGGGGTTCCATGAAAGGGGTCACTTTCTGGGCATCGCCGGCATCACCAGCATTCTTGAGAAGGAGAGTACCCACATTCTGGAGCCTTCTATGATTTTGAACTCCTGCCATGTCTGTCTCTCTTTCTCTCTCTCGCTCCCTCCCTCTCTCTCTCTCTCTCTGCCTCTCCGCCTCTCCGCCTCTCCGCCTCTCCGCCTCTCCGCCTCTCCGCCTCTCCGCCTCTCCGCCTCTCCGCCTCTCCGCCTCTCCGCCTCTCCGCCTCTCTGCCTCTCTGCCTCTCTGCCTCTCTGCTTCTCTGTGTCTGTCGCCCGGTTGGCTGGTTTGGTTGGTTTGGTTGGTTTGGTTTGGTTTGTTTGTGTCCGAGGAAACGTGCCCGTGCGCTTCATCCATCAGCCATGGACGATGTCGCCAGAGGACGATGACGATGTCGCCAGCGTTCCCCTGGAAACGTTACCCCAGCCCAGAAGGTGATGTTCAAAGAACGACACGAACCCCCAATCGATGGGCGGGGAATCTGGGAGGCAGCCGTTTTTTTGCCTTCCTTTTTTTTGTGGGGATTTTGTTTGCACGTTTTCAGGGATACTTTGTATTAAAGTCATCAACATTATCATCAAACGTAACTAAACCATCATAAATCTCCGGATTTTTTTTGGTGGCATAAAGATCTGGATTCGGCCCTTCTAGACATACTGCAAGGGGGAGCCTTTGGCGCGGTTTCACGCCCCGAGCGAAACCGGGACCGGCGCGAGGAGAAGGTGCAGTTTGGGGCCGAGGGCGCCTCGGCTATCGAATTGGAGCGGTTTCACCGGGGTCGGGCGAGCGAGTGCGGTGGTTTTGAGGTGAAAGGTGGTGTGTGGCCTTTGTTGGCCTGTTTTTTTGGCACCGCTGTGTTGATTTTGATTGGGGGGTGTTCCCTTTCAGTGGGGATTCAGACCAATCTTGGAGGGAACACCCCCGGACTAATAACATTGCCCTTCAGCTGGTTTGAAGGGGAAGTGAAAGGGCTGGCTGAGCCATTTTTTTTAGGTCCTCTTACTTCACAACAGGTCAAGCGTAAGCTTTGGCCATGGCAGAAGTGAAGCCATAGTCCGCCCTGATTGAGATGTCTTGGTTCGGGATCTCCTCTTGAAAGGTCTACCAAATGGTACCCTTCCCTCCAGTCATGGAAGCTGAGGATCGGATTTGGAAGACGAAAGCTTTGAGAGATTGTACTTGGCACTCCAAGTGCCCTTTCTCAGATCTACCTGGATCGCCAGTTGCTGATTTCCCCCCCCCCCCCCCAATGCACTTTACCCCGAAAACCAGCAACAGTGACTCAAACGTAGCAGCAACTTGACTATCTAGGTAGCCAGTTTTTGTTTGGGTTCCCTTGCTCCAGATTTTTGGTTTGGCGGTTCCTCTCTGGCACCAGATGTAGGCTCGTATCGGGTTGAACAAAAGTTGCAGTCCGCTAGGGACACCCAAAGGAGGCGGTTTAAACCAAGTGTTTTGGAGAAATTGAAGTACTTAGCCCAACCCTGGAGCGGACTTCCTCTTCCGCGTTCCAAATCTGTTCGAAATCGTCGGGGCTCACTGGGTTTCAACCCTTGCTGTTTGGGGACTGTGTTGCTTTTGGGGGGACCAGTTTGGAGAAGCTGCAGAAGTTTTGAATGTTGCACGCCCAATATGGCCATGCATCTTGGAGTGCTCTCAAAAAGTGGTGACATCCATTCCATGTTTTTCAATGTCCATCCAAGGGTCTTCTTCCGCAACGAGGATCCATCCGCGCCCGCTGTTGGAAAGCGAGTTGTTTGGGCTGCTCAAGCTCCAATCGCGAAATCACTGCCTCTGTACCGAATCTGGGCAACAAGAAAAGTCACACCCAATTCTGGGGACGGGCTGGTATCATGTACCTGCCCCTTAGTTACCCCCCCCATTGGGCAAATGCGCTCGGCTCACCAAACAAATGGCTCTGGCTTGTACTCGGGTGCATCCCCCAAGTCATGGCCAAGCCAGACCTTTTTGCTCATCCCTAGACCCAAAAACCATGGAGGGTACGGCTTGGTCCAGATCCGTGGCATGCTAGAGGCTACGCAGCTCCCTGCATGAGCCCTGCGGTCTTCAAAGATGAGGGTGGGAAGGGCAAAGGCCGGCGCAGGAGTCGGGGCAGGCGCTGACGGAGCCGCGAGAAAATCTCGCCCAAAGACGGCGAGTTGGATGGCCGCAGCGCAGTTGCTGCTTTGAACCATGTGGCTGTGGGTCAAAACCAATGGTACCATCTTGTGGAAGGTGCACCACCCATTTTGGTCTATTTTTGCGGGGAATGGGATGTTCACTGAGGGTACGGGATTTTGACCCATGGCCATGTCAGAAAACCGGGCCCAAGAAAGCTGGGCTAAAACATGGATTGTTCGCTGCCATGTGCAAGTATCACGCTGCGATGATATGCGGGATGTTGCAGGGCGTTGAGCAAAGTGTTGCGCTGCGCAGTCGTGCGGCGCGCGAACTTATGCTGAAGTGATCGCGCTTACTAGCAGAATTGAAAAGATGCAATTTGAAACGGCTTTGCATCAGCCCTTTAGACGCACACTCTGACACCAGAGCGTTGCAGATCTGAACAGCTGACTGCGAGCAGATGTAGACAAAACATCGTGGCTCGCTCGCTCCAAGGGGACGGGAACCCCGGATTTCTCAACCCTTGGTTCATGAAAAGGGGGGTGTTCCCTTCTAGTGGGGGGGGGCTCAGACCGCTTTTGGAGGGAAGACCCCGCGGTTGCTTTCGAGTTGGAGCCTGTCGCTTGGACTCATCTCCATACCGCGAGTTGCGAGCAGCTCGCCTCTTCGCCTCGTTGCCTCGGGCAACCTTGACGGCTTTGGGGGAAAAGGGCCGCTGGCCCCGACGAGCTTGCCAAGCAAGGGGGAATCCAAGTCCCTCGTGAGTTCTGTACAGACCTTCGCTGAAGTCCAGAAGTGCCCCCAGAGCCCCCAGGAATTTCGCCGAGTTTTCCAGGCCAGATTTTCAGCGCAAAACCGCGCAAAAAAAGGGGGACGCGATGGGAGCAGCGGTGCAGCCGGGGCGGGCATGAGGCTCGAATTTGGCAAACTGGGTTTGGGCACCTTATGTTGGCCCCGGATTGGTTAATTTTGGATTGCTGTGATGAGGGTGTCCCGTTCTAGAGGGGATGCCTCAACATTCGCATTGTATCCCGGTCCTACTTGATGCTGCGTTCCTGATTTTGTTGCAGCTCATCCCTGATGTGTGTCGGTACTTGTGGACAGGACATCTTGGGTTTGTCGGGGGGGGGGGGGCTTACTTTTGGCAGTGCGAGTCATCTTAGTTTTCGGACTGGGTTGATTTCTTGTCCATTCACCCGTTCCTTTGATTTTTCAGAAGCCGCGAGTATTTTCAACCTGGGTTTCATTTCCGGGCAATCTTGTGATAGGGTCTCCTCCATTTCCCTTCTTGCAGCCTCCAAAAGTTGCCGTTTCAGTGGAAGCCACCAGCGACTGGCATTCTTAAGGGACATCCAGCGACCCCGGTGAGAGCACTTGAAGCATTGCCCGCATCTGGCGAGGTCTTGGACCAATATGGCTAGCACCACCCATTTTAGAACCTATTTTAGTGGGGAATGGGATGTTCACAGGGGGTACGGGATTTTGACCCATGGCCATATGCTCTCCCTTGCTCATACCAATCAACATGCCTTCCTGCGAAACCTCTTCTCCCCTCATCCACATTTTCCGCCTGGCAGGTAGATCATAGTCGAAAAGATTCTGGAGCGAAGCCTCACAAATGGGCGACTTATCCCACAAGGCTGCACATCTCCCAAACCTGCTTCGAGTCAAGTTGACTTGGACCCCATCTCACATCCCAAGTGCTAAGTAGTTACTTGTCTTTGACGACAAGTTGAATCAACTCACAGTCCCACGCTAGGGTCATCTGAAGTTGGCTTGAGTTCTTTTCCAAACTTTTCATCCTCGGCCGCCCTTCTCCAGCGTAACAGCCCTTGAGCTGTTGGGGACTTAGGCATGACTAGGTCCCCCAGTAGTGCCCTTTCTCACGCCTTTTCTGGTTGCGAGTATTCCCCTACTCCAAATAGACTGCAGAAAAAAAATGGGTACTCTTATTCTAATCTCTCAAATCTGGAGGACCTAGATGAAGCTCACATCCTTCCCCTCCCTTGGCCTTCGCCCGCGCCTCAAAGCGCCCAATGGCCAGGTGGCGTACCTCTCTGGGCGCCTCAACGCTGAGCTCTTCGACGAGCCGGAGGAGGAGTCGAGCCGAGTCGAGTCGAGCCGAGTCGTCGAGTCGCGCTGTGGGAGCCCCCGAGGTTTGTCGAACCCCGTCTTCTGCTGATCCGGCTGGAAAAACTTGGGTTTGGTCTACAGGAGTCACTGGAAATTTCCCCCCCAACTCAAAAGTCGATGAGTCACTGGACATTTCCCCAGTCGATGATTTGGTTAGGTTTGCTGATTCCGGTCGCGCAGCCTTACAGGGTCGCAGGAAACGTCTCCCACTGAAAAGTTGAATTGATGGGCGGTTTCTAAACGATCGCCTGTTGGCGGTTCCCTTTAGGAGATGGCTCGGAAACCCTGGGGTACTTTGTCTCGTACGTTAACCAGAGGGAGCCGTTTTCTCCCAAACTGAGGGTGAAGTTCAAAAGGCGAACCTGAAACTTCCAAGAGATTTTTGGGGAGTCCCATGTTTGACGACTTACTGCCCCCAATCTGATCCGAAGGGCGCGAACCGTTCGCCCTGAGGACTTTGAAGCGCCCGAAGGCTGGAGAGACGTCTTCGATCGGAGCCCCTCTCAGAGGGTTCGATAGGAAGCGAAACTAGGTCCAGCTAGGTGCCCTTTTTGCCAACTTTTTGGGAGGGTTCCCCTACTGAAATCGACGAAACCGGAAAACAATCCCGGTACCCTTATTCTACCCTCTCAAATCTTGAGGACCCAGGAAATCCGGGACGAGCCGGGGGGGGTCTTTGGGGGTCTTTTGGATTCGTGGAAGTGAGGGCGACAAAGAGCTCGATGCGGGGGGTACGCGGGAGCCACGATGTAGGCCCTGTACTTGCGGATCTTTTCTTTTCAGGTTTTGGCAGACTCTTGAAATGCCACCCTCCCAAAAATCGGGGCGCGGCCTGCTTTTTTTGTGGTGTAGGGTAGTTTTTTTTTTTTTTTTTTTTTTTTTTTTGTGGTGTGGGGCAGGTTAGGTTCTACAGCTGGGCGAAGCAAAGATTGTGTGGCCGTGCGAGCCTCGGATGGGTAACATGAAGCACCTCCGAGAAAAATACTTTTGTACATCCGGGTTTGAGAGATTTGAGCAAATCCTTCGTTGTGAAGCATGTTAGCATACCTGGCAGAAAAGGCTTCAATTCGGGACTTCGGTTTCAGATTGCCAGGTGTCACTGAGGAGGTCAAGTCGAAGTATGCAGCTCAGGACCGACGTGCGCCAAGCACCCGATTTGTACCGAACCTTCCCTCCCTGTCAGCAAATAGGGGGATCTTCGCAGAAGCTGCACCACCATTTATTTGTTGTGAGGGAGAAAAATGGCTGATGTGCGCGGCGAGGCCTCGTTCCCACATGTGAGGGCTCACTTTATTTTGTGAATAAAGGCAACCCATGACTCACGGGGGTCAGCACAATTTGGCAAGCCTGAACCGTCAGTTCGAGATGCCTGACTGCTTTCCAAAATGAGGGAGTTGCTTTGTTGAGCGAAAGGCTCAAAACACGATGATGCAAAGCTCCTGCTTCTGTTAAGCTCTTAGGCAGACCTGGTTCCCCTTGCTCTACGTTGGGAAACACTGATATTGGGCTCCCGAAAACCACATTGACATGTGTGTGAGCCAGGATCTCAACACATTGATGCCTGCCAAAGCTGGCGCAGATCTACCAATGATTTGTTGGGGACTGGGTAAAAGAATAGGCTCCTTTTTTTCACCCCCCTCATCCACTTTTTTGTAAATTTAACCCTTCCACTTTTCCCTAACATCCACTTTGGAGGGCGGGTCGCACCTTTTGTCGTTTCCCTTTCTTTTCCTAAGCCTCAAGCAACACATGTTTTTAGGTCCTGGACTCCCCGGCTGCCCTGTGTTTTTCTTTTTTTCGCCCCCGGTGCTTGGTGGAAAAATCCCCGTCCGAAACCGACAACGCCGACGCCGAAAACCGACGCCGGGGCGGCCAGCGGCGGCCAGCGGCCATTTCAGGAGGCCGACCCGGAGCTGCTGGTCGCGGCGCCCTCTGCTTCAGAGGTCTCCAGGCGACGGTTTCGGGCTCCCGGTCCCCGGGTCCCGGGTCGTTTTTTTTTGTTCTTTCTTCTTCCGGAGCGCGCGAAGGGAGCCCCGGTCTTTGGTATTCTCTGTTGCCCGGTGGGCTGCTTCCTTTTTCTTTAAGAACAAAAAACCACTTGTTTTGGGTAGGGGGTCCGATTCCTTTAAACTCGGCCAACAAAAAAAGGGTGCCCTCTTTTTCCCATGGCCGCTGGGCATCTGAGTATTTGGGGGTGGTTGTTCAGCATGTTTGGTTTCAACATGACTCCCGTTTTTGGAAATGTGGGGTGTGTCTTTTTCTTTGAGGATAGTCGTTCCTTTTGGAGTGGATTGAAATGGAAGCCAAAAGGACGCCGACCATGGTTTTAGCTCCCCTTTTTCAAGACGAACCCATCTCGGCCCTTGAAAAGCGCGAGCTAGCTCACGAAACGGCAAAGCGACTTTTGGGCCCCGTGGTGAAAGCCAATTTGTGGATTCAGTGATTCCGGGTGTGCGGATCCAAGATGGCACTGTATAGCAACTAGAATATCGCTGGGTGCTGTAAAGCCAAGGAAGCCATAAGGGCATGATGAACCAGCCCTTCCTGGGGAGGGCAGGTTTTGCCCAAAGGATCCAGTGACGTGAGGTGCAAGGTGTGCCCTTGGAACCGTTCCAAAGCGCTCACTCGGAACCAAGGCAGGCGAAACGTTGACCCTGCCATGGAACCTGCCAAAGAAATAACTCATTCAACGGGGAATGGTACCCTCCCACCAGCTAACATGGAAGTGCACAGACCCCTGTAGAAAGATTACTTTCCTCTTGGAAAGGTCCTTTTTGCACTTCCATGTCAGTGGGAGGGTACAAACCAGGAGCCCCCAGTTAGGCTCCATGACAGGAGGATAGACTTCTGGCCAAGCAGCTTGAAGGGAGTAGGCATCGAAACCCTGAAAGCGAGCCCCGGTTTTGGATGATGTGCCCACCAGTGGCTGTGGGTCAAAAATAGGGTACCCCAAATGGGACCCTGGTACTTGGAAACATGGACCCAAACCTGCGGTCCATATCCTGGTGGTTTAATTTGACCCCTACCCAAGTAGTGTAAAACCCATGTGAGCCCCTTGCCGAAAGAAAAACAAGCGGCGGGTGCCTCTTACTTGGGGCCCGGTTTCCTGGTTTGGTTTCCTCAGCCGCAGAGAGTCGAGAACCCTAAAAACGGGGTGGGTTCCCTTGTAAACCACCTAAGAAGAAGTGGTCCCAACCCCTCAAGCCACCTTGACAAAAAGGATTTCGGCCTCTTCAACAGGGCTCCTTAAAAGATGCAGTTTGCCCATTTGAAACATGTGGCTTTTTCCGAAAGTTGGAGACCAGCATTTACAAGTTGCAATGTTCAGGTGTATTCACTGTAGGAACCCCTCTTCAATTTTGGGCCACTCGGACCCACATTTTTGAGGCTAGCCTGAGGCTAGCTGGCGCCCTCTCCGATTTCCCCACAGCCTCGGTTCCTAGGAGTTCCTTTCCCGCGAGCGGCCCGTCCTGGGAGGAGATCAAGGCGAGTTCGGTGGCATGCGAATCGAATCGAGCGGTGGGCGTTTGGTTTCCCCTTCCCAACTTTTTAGTCATGGCCAAAGGTGATGAGCCTTTTTTTTTCCCAGGCTTTTTTGGGTGAGGGGGCCACTGAAAGGCCCCAAAGGTCTTGTTGGCTTTTCATTGGTTCCCCTTTGGTCCCGTTTGGCTTCCCCCTTTTTGGCTTCCCATGTTTCGCGGGTCCTTGAGGAAAGGCCGAACTAAGGACCCCTGGGCGAAAGTTGGAAAACAAATCCAATTCGGTGGATGTGGGTAACGATGACGAGACTGGTATGCGGGAAGTGTGACGCCTTTTTCACTCAACTGTAGAATAGGGTTGTGGGGCATGCCAAAGTCAAACTAAGTCATAGCCAGAAGAATAATGTGCGTTATTGTTTAGCCCCTTATACCAACGCATTCTTTTCAACCGTCCTTCTTTTGAAACACGCTTCATTGCTTCATTGGGAATTGGATACACAATTGGCTGCTTTGTTGGTTACCGGACGTAAATGCCAGGCTTCTTTATCGGAAATCAGCAAGACCGAGCCGTGGTCAGAATGAACTCTGTCAACGTTTGCGAACATGTTCCCATGTTCCGTATTCATCTCGTGTTTCCAAGATAGAGCCAACCATGAACCTGGGACCCTCCTGACGGGTTCCTTCTTTAGGAGGGGTGGCGGGAAACCCTCCTTTCCCAACCATGTGAAAGATGCGTTGGGTCAAAGCCAAGTTGGGGGCCTCCAACGATCTTTTCGCATTTTAAGGGTGAGAAACTATGAAACAGACTCTGAACTTTCTGATTTGTTGTGTCGCCAAGTTCCGGGTACCCTGATAAATTGGGGGGATTCAGCGATGAGGTTTGACTCCAAGTTCCATTTGACCAAATGGGGTTTTGGCAGTTCACGTCCAAGGCACCAGACCAAAACCACTTGGGGGTAAGGTGAGAGTGCTCACCAAACCACCAAACCACCAAACCACCAAACCACCAAACCACCAAACCACCAAACCACCAAACCACCAAACCACCAAACCACCAAACCACCAAACCACCAAACCACCAAACCACCAAACCACCAAACCACCAAACCACAAACCACCAAACCACCAAACCACCAAACCACCAAACCACCAAACCACCAAACCACCAAACCACCAAACCACCAAACCACCAAACCACCAAACCACCAAACCACCAAACCACCAAACCACCAAACCACCAAATCACCAAACCAAACCAAACCACGACTCTAGACTCGAGCAGCTGGCAACATCTTCTTGCTTACGATAGGTCCGAGCTCGCCAGAATGGCAGATGGCGTTCAACTTCCCAGATGGTGTGAATGAGCGGCCAAGATGCTGCGCATTTTTTGGCGGATTTTTTTCCTGCCCACCTGGGTCGAAATCCCCGGACATCACCAACTTGGCTTCGCTGTCCCAAATCCATCTGCAGTGTGTGCGAGTCTGTGTGCCGGGCTGGGTGTTTGTGGTGCTCCAACCGATCTTTATAGGTCTGAACCGAGCTCCTTGAGGCCCGAGGACAAATTGGAAAGCTGGTGAACGCAGTGGCCTCCAAGCCACAAATTGAGAGTTTCCACCAAGCCTCATTCCCGCTTGAATCAAAATTGGGACCTATTTGCACCATGTGTAGCGTCGCGTTTTGGATCTGAAGCTTCAGACCCAAAACGGCGACGAGTTCAGGTAGTATGAGCCTGAAAAGCGCAGGGCATCCTTTGATTTCTTGGCTAGAAGCTCCCACCCCACCATGAAACAGGGGGGTGGGGGTTAGGAGTAAAGCTTTAGGGGGATCGGTTGGTACGATCCATGAGATTGTGCAGGCCAAAGAGAAGAAGAAGGAGGAGATGCGTTCGCAGCTGTGCCCCGGCGCGTTTTTGATTTCTTCAAGGGTTGATGTCCCGTGTGGGGAAATCAATCTGAGTCTACCTCCCTTTTGCTTGGGAAGCGCCGGAGAGATTGGGTAACATGGTGGGAAGATGTTGGCGGGGAATCCCGATTTCTGCGATGCGCCGATCCCCCTACGGGATTTCCCTGAAGTGATACCTGATCTTTGGGGTTCCCAAGAGGGTTATCCTGTTTAGGTGACAACGTTATCAACTGTCAAGGCGAACTGCCAGGGTAACGACTTAGAAGCGGTGTCGCCAAACTAGAAATTGAGCCACCAGAACTTGCGGTGTCCTTTCTGTTTCCATCCAACAAGGGGTCTTTTCCACATTTTTGTATCCAAGATGAGGGCTTGCGTTTGTGAGTGGTTTTCACTCAATGTGGTCCACAGCCGAGTTATATAGTTTTGGAGGGCGCGCTTTTGTGTCCAGTAGGCTTGATTTTCATGTAAAAATAAGTGCAGTGTCAGTCGGGAATTGCGGCATTCGCAACGTGTTTTTTGCCTTTAGACAGGGAATGCTGCAGATGGGCGAGTTTATCTTGGTTTCCCTTTCACCCAAAAGGATACTTGTGGATTCAAAGTGACATCCCAAAAGTGCCCTCTAGATGGTTTTTTACCCAAACTCAATCCCAAGGATCCGAACAGAGCATACCCCTAGCAGCATGGCGAAATGTGGCTTTCAAGCGCCCAACTCCATTCAGATGATTTCGCCAGTTCTAGCAAGAAACGGCCATTTCAAGTACCCCTCTGCAATCACGTCGCCCCCCCCCTCCCCCGCTCGGTATGCGAATAGCAGTAAACGGTCAAAAACACAATGTCAAGTTCCCATCTCCAGTTGTCGTCATCTCCTCGCCCCTTTTCGTCAGTTGTAGCAACAAACGGCCCGATTTCAAGCACCCGTCTCCAGTTGTAGCCCTTTGCTCCCCCTGGGTAGGCGACCAGGACGGGATTTCCGAGGTTCATCGACGGCTGCTACACGCCCATGACCATCGAGCGGCTCTGTGAGGAGATCAACGACTCACAAGGCGGGGTCGAGGGCTTTGAGGGCTTCGAGGGCTTCGGGCGTGGAAGGGGGATGGGTCCCATGGAAGGCAAGAAGTCTTTTCCGGGTTGGCCGGGCAGGGAGCACGAATCCAAGCTGAATATGTGCCCTTCTTTTTGGGTGGTGCCAAGCTTTTGGTTTTGGGTGGTTTTCAAGTTGGAGACCAAAAACGCCATCCGGTTTGCCCAATTCTGCGGGGGCAAAAGATTCCAGAAAAGACGAGCCCCCCATCGCCCAAGTTTTTTGGTTTGCTCCGGGCCAAAAGACAGGCCTTCCAAGTAAATATGGCCCCTTGGGCCAATTAAGGCATGCTGGGTGCCAACAAAAACAAGATGTGTTGTTTTACCGACACCAAAAGGGATGACTTATTTCTCCAGAGACCCTAGCACCCAGAACTGTACCCTTCCAGCCGTTTGCCCTTTGAAAGGGCGATCCTACAAAAGTGATCCCAGGATGGCTTGTTTGAACTGTACAGAACTCTTTTGGGGCTGCTGCACAAACCCTTAGAACCCCAGTTTGTCTTTGGTGCATTTTGCTTGGTTGTTAGGACTTTCACTTTTTGCCAATGGGTTTTCCGAATCAAACCACTAAAAATTGGTCACTTTTAGCAGGGCTTCGCAGAAAGCCACCGTTTTCCAGCGGACATGGCCTGGCACGAGGGTCCTCTCGTTGGCCGCGCCTGGGCAAGGCATCGATCTGCTCTTGACCTCGGAGTGGCCTAAGGCGCGCCCGTCACCCCCAATCTGGTAGGGGAAAGGAAAACAACGTGTTTTGCCAGGTTTTTCGGGGAAAAACCGCCGATTGATGCTGGCTTTCTCTTTTGCCTCGGAACAGAACCCACCAGTTTTGCCAGGTTTAGCAGAAAAACACCGATTTATGCCGCCGGGAAAAAACCCACCAAAAACGCCTCGGGCGCTTCAGCGGTTCAATCCGGGAAAACAACTTCCGTGTCCAAAGTCCGAGGTCACAGTCGCTTTTCCTTGCACAAAAGGGAACACAAAGGCTTTCGCGAGGGGAAGCCAACATCCAATGGCGCTTGCCAAGCGAATCGACATGGAATCTCTTTGCTTTGCCAGGCTTGGGCCATTTGGGGCTTGAAATGAGGGACCCCTTTCGGAGGGTTAGAAAGCCTGTGACAAGCAGTTCTGTAAATACACCCGCAACTAGTAGGGTTGCTCGATTCGAGCCAGTTCCGAGACCAACTCCATTTACCAAGTTGTGGGGCAAATTCATGGGTGTGTTTTTCCGGGGTTTCGAAGGTGAAGGCTGTACAAGAGGCCACCAGCCAGCCGCGACGATTTTCATCCGAACGTCGATCTCATCCGTCTCCTGATCTTCAACTTTCTATCCAGGTTGGCGTTAAGGTTGGAGAAGATCCGAACCGCGCCGCGCCGAAGTCTGATCCAAGAACCAGGGCACTTTGTGCGCCAATTCAATCAGGAAGTGAGTCAACATACCAGACCCATGAGATGAGTAAGCTCACGTTCATACTTGGTTGCTCTGATGTGTTCTTGGATAGACCGTTAAGACTTGGTCGTTTTTGGTTTGACCGCTTTTCCCCTTTCCGGAAAGATGACCGTGACCCCTTTCACCCCTTTCCCGTGAGGGCCCTCTTGCATGAAAAAGCGGGCTTGCTCCCAAGGAGGTGTTCATGAAGGAGGTGCCCTGTGAGCAACTGGCAAAGGTCGGGAGGCCCCAACAGTCAGACACGGCGCCGTAGTTTCTGTATTTTTGTGTATTTGTATTTGTGTCAAAACGAGTTGATCCCCGTGAATTTGAACGGGATACAACGAGCCAAGCGTCTTCCGAGCTCTACACCCTCCGCAAAGGTTTGATGAGAAGCCTTCAATTAGAGCTGCAGGATTTGAGCTGTGCCCTTCGTGCAAAACTTCTACTCCATTGCGCCTGACGAATCCACCTACTGCTTTTTGCTTTGTGGGCATCATGAATACTGATCGAGCCACAGTCAAGGCTGAAAGTGGGGAACTTGTTTGTTGGTTGGTGCTTGGCTTACCTTTTGACCTTTTGAGTCTTCACCATTTTCCTCAACCAACCGTGCGATGGCCCAGTTTCAACCACCTCCACACCTTCCCCCCCCCCCCAGCCTCCCCTCCCCCAGCGCCAGGGCATCATGACCACACTCAAGGAGGCCTGGCCCGAAGAGGCCGGAAAGGAGTTGGGAGTTTGCGAGTTATTGCGACCAGAGTACCCCCAACTTGAGCTGTCGGTTCAAAAGGGAAAGGCCAGAACATGCGTTCTGGAGGAACCCCCTGCGGTTCGGGGCTTGTGTTGAATTGTTCCTTCATTTGCGCATCGCGCACATGGCTGGCAACCCATTTCTCCACATCACATTGGGAATGGAGTTCCCAAGGTCAAACGAAAAGAGTGCCACAGGCGGCTGAACTTCAGAGTCAGAGCCATGTTGAGACTGTTTCAAGAAATAGCCCGAGAGCAGTGAGAAATCACTTTGGTCTTCCACGCGCGCTCCAAAAGTTCCAAAAGCTCGCGATTTACTGGCGATCTCGCCGGCCAGCAGCTGTTTCAACGCCGCGCCAGGCGGAGACGCGGAAGCTGGCGAAGAGACGCTCGGCGTGCGAGGAACCCGAAGCCCAAAACGGCGGCCATGGGTATCCCTCACGGACTTGGGCACGCGCGCGCCCCCCCCCCCCAAAAAAAATCGGCGACGTGCGGATTGTTGGACCCTTTCGTGCGTCAAAGTCGGAGACTGGGGGCTGTTTTGTGAGGGCACCCTGTCTGAGGTGCCGAAGGGAAACGGAAAGCCGAAAGCCGCCATTTTGAGCGGTCGGTTTTCCTCACATGCGTATCCCCCAAGCTACAAACGGACAACCCAGGGAAGCCATCAGACTGAAGTGGGACAGTCCAACCTTTCGTGGTGAAAGGACTTCCTGGGACGCCCCCGCGTTGATTTTCTGTGGACCCCACCCAAAGAGAGTGGTATAAGATCGCGATGTGGGCGTCGTCTTTTGGTGGTGCCCCCCTTTTTTGGTGGTTTCAAAAGAAAGCCAAAAGGACAACCACCAATTTTGGGGTCCCCCCCTCTTTTTTTTTTTGAGGGGCCGGGGGTTGTTAGAAAGGCCGCGCGACCCCCGAAGCGACGCCCTCCCTGCCAAGCTGCTAAGCCCAATGAATACCTTCGGTGTCCGGAGACACCCTTGGGGAACAGAGGACAGCTTGGAAGCCGAGACGTCCAAGTGCGAACCCAATCCAGTTATATACCAGAGGCAACCCAAAGGCTTTTGCAACAGTTGAACAACTCAACATCCTTGCCTGGTTGCCTCCCTTTTGCGGCTTGCCACTGGAAGATCCTTGCCTGCTTACTTACGTAATGCTGGCTTGCCGGGATGGTCCCATGAGACCAAAGCCTTGACAATTCAATTGTTTGGGTGCCTCCTTCTTGTTCCGAATTTGCTGAAGGTCCCATAAATGGAACACCTTGCATTTTTGTTTAAAATCCTGCTTTGCCAGGTCCTCTGTTGCCAATTTTCACCGAAGGTCCCCAACTTGGCGAACTTTTATTTCCACTCTGGGGCCTCCACAGAAACCGGCTTGTTCAACCTTATAATGACCCCTTGGTCGCTACGAAGGCGTGTTGGTTGAAGGTCACCGGTGAACTTCTTGCTTTTTCTCACTGCAAATTGCGATCATAATTGGCGAGGGTCTCAAATTTGTTTCCCCTAAAGCTGATGAACGAAAGGGGATCAAATCCTAGGTGTGGGGATGCGGGGGATCAGAATTGCCGAGCCGTCCAAGTGGTGGTTTCCTTTGAGGGACCTTCCCAAACTCAAACAGTGATTCGACTGAGAAGGAGCCACACAAAGGTCAGGTCAGCCGTAATTGGTGGATTGGCTCATTTGGATTTGAACCCCGGGTTCTTGTGGAGAATGTGAAAGCAGCCCCAAACCACCAACGCACCGAACCTAAGCTGGTGCGATATGTAGGGAATGTGGGAATGCACCCAGGGGTCGCTGAAAGAAGGCCACTGTAAGGGTCATTCCCTCATTCCCTACTTGTCGCACGGACCGTAAGAAATGGCAGTTGTGTGGCTTTGGCTAGACCACTGTACCGGGGCTTGACTCAATTTACCTGAAGTTCGCAGGCTGATACAAGGGTGTTCATAAGCCAAGTTCCCCTCCAAGCCACCTCCTAACCACCCAACCCCCAAACCTCCACCAAACCAACCGAAATAAATCCGAACCCAAACAAGGTAAAAGGACATTTTAGTTGGCAGAAAGGGTAGATGGGTGGCCCCCTCCAGCAGCAACACCATAGTTCTGTAGTTTCTTGGCCAGGTCAAGAGCACCCGTAGCACCCGAAAAAATATGGTGAAGTACCTCCAAGTTCCGCCCAACTTTGAGGCCGTCGAGTCGAGTCGTCGAGTCGAGTCGCAAGTCCGAGGCGCGGCGCGGCAGTGCTCCTCCGCCGCGGTGGCGGAGCTGGCGGTGGCAGCGGAGGCCAAGTACCACGCCGCCCGGGGACCGAGCGAGCCCCGCGGGGCGGGCGATGCGGGGCGGCCGAGCGGCCGGGCGGCCGGGCGGCCGAGCGGGTGGTTTTCCTATGGGTTGGATGGTTTGGGGTGGGGTTTGCCTGGTGGGGTCTCTTTGTTTCCCCATTTGTTTTTGCGTGTTTGTGTTTTTTTCAACAACTTTGCATTCCATTTTTTTGGCATTTGACAGGTAGTCTCAACTCCATTGAGTTTCCGGAAAGGGAACGGGAGGGCTTTTTTCGACTTGGCGGTCAAGCAAAAATGGAAAACCCTGAACGGTGCGAAGGCCCTTAGAGGGCACTTCGGTCGGTGTCGGTTGGGTGAGTTGGACCGTCTTTCAGGGCCTCCTTGACCCCAAGCTGTTTCATGATAGAGTCAGCAAGGATGACAACTCCCTTGCGCCTTGGATAAATTGATGGGTCACAAACTTGGTTTGCCCAAAGACGGGTTTGGTTTGACTTCTTTGTGGAAAAGGGAGCCCTCGAGCTTGAGAAACTTGACCTCATGGGAACTGCTGGGTGCGTGGCCGCGAACACCTGGACGGTCGGGGGAGGTTGAATTGGATGTTTGTTTTCAGAGTCGACAGACACAGATCCAAGTGCCAGATGGATCTTGAATGACAAATCGGTGAGAAAGATCTCGACATGGCTCTTTGAAATATATTTCTCGACTCCGCCCGGCATGCACAAAAAGCAAACAACTGGTATCGCGGCTCGGAGTCGGGCGGCCGGGAAATCGCCCTCAGAAGTAGCCCAAAGGAGTTGGCTCGGAGTCGGGCGGTCGCCGAACGTCGTCCTTTGGCGCGTTTAGACACTCCCAGCGGGTGGCTTCCCTTATGTTCGGAGGGTTCAATTCCAAAACCAAGGGCCCAACAAATGGCGCAACTTTTTTCTCCCGTGATCGCTGGCTGTCGGAACATGGCAGAAGCCGTGAAAGAAGGCGGCGTTGTTGTGCGGGCTGTTTCGTAGATGGTGACGGTTCCCGAGTACTCGCCTCCCTAGTTTCTGAGTTTGTATTCATTTGAGACAGTCAGTTCAGTGGAGCAACAGCAGAAGCGCCTGTTTGTTTTGCCAACTTCCTCCAAAGTTTCACTTTGGACTCATCTCCCTTCGATGTGAAGAAATGGTTTTGTGTCTGATGGTTTGCCAGTGCGCCTAATGCTGGCCGTGTGTTCCCCCCCCCCTCCAAGAGGCGTCGCGAACCGTGTCTTCAGGCTCAGCCACAAGCTAAACAGCATGGCCCCTTGCAGGGCCACCTCAAACCTTTTTGGGCCTTTGAGTCTTTGATGTTTCTCGTTGCAATGTATCAAGCTTGAATGGTTCAGTGTTTCGGACCTGGGTGGAACGATGTTTGCGTGCTTCAGCTGTTCATCACCATGTCAAACGACCTCGGGACCAACGGGGACGGTGTTCCTACAGCTTGTGATGGGCATTCCGATGTTAGTGCTGGGAGTTTCAATGCTTTTTGGTTGGAGCAAAGCAATGATTGTGTTGAACGCTGCAATCTTGTTGCACCACAATGAACCAGTCGAGTGTTTTAACTTTTGCCTTGGTATTCCCGCGTGCTTGTTTCGGGGTTCCATTTCATGTCATTTCTCGTCTCCGTTCGCCAGTGATTGCTTGGGACTGCAATGTTCGTGCGGGTGCGTTGGTGATGAGTTGAGCATTTTGATGATTGTTCTGGATACTCCAACATCTGTCTTGGAATTTCATTGTGTTTTTGGCTTTTATTTATTTCGTTACGTGGGACACTCAATTTCTTGTGTCTAACATTCCGATGTGTTCAAAGCGTGTGATGTTGCTTTATTGTGCTGGCATTCCAATGTTTGTGTGTGTGTGGTGGATTCTCCAATCAACATTGCAGTTTTGTTCCGCATTTGAGTGTGTGTGTGTGCGCGCGCCAGCGTGTGTGTGTGTGTGTGTGTGTGTGTGTGTGTGTGTGTGTGTGTGTGTGTGTGTGTGTGTGTGTGTGTTGGGCATGTTGAGGTGTGCATGGGATGATCAAACATGTGCTTTGGATACTGCAAGCGTCGGTTTCCTTCGTTCGTGCTGGATACGCCCTTGTTTCTAAGCAGTTGTTCAGCGTTTCAATGTTTTTCTGTCGCATTCTAATGTGAACCCCTACCACTGCAAACGATCTACATGTCCATTTAGATGCGCATACTATACGTATACACGTGTTTGCTGTTGCACATATATATATATATATCAGGTGGAGGCAAGGTAACTTAAAGACAGGCAAAGGTAAACTTAAACACCAGTTTTGTGCGGTTTGTGTGGGATCTACTGGGAGGATTCTTGATATTTGAGGATATAGTGGGAGGGGTCGCAAGGCCTGTCCCAGGCTGCCTCAGGCCCCTCAGGCCCCTCAGGCCTATCTCAGGCCTTTCAGGTGCACAGGCCAGGCCTGCACGCCTTTCCAGGGCCTGAAGCCGGCCAGCATGGGCACCAAGGGTGTTTTCTGTTTTAATGTGTTTGGAAGCGGGTCTGCCCATGTGTGTACGGTGTGGAGTTGTTTTCTTCTTGTGCTTGCAGACAAAGCTCTCCGTCGGTGATGCTGGGTGGAGGCTGCCACTGGGTCTTGACCCGCTGGTACTCATGCGCAGGCAATGTCTTTCTCATGTGCGCATCAATGTGCACCATCAAAGACGCCATCATGAAGACCTCAGCTTCCTTGCCAGTGTCGCGCCACGAGGTGATAAGGGGGGCCTGCCGGACTGGAGGCGTAGTGCCCTTGTTGATGCACTCCTCACACTTGGCGTCCCACTTCTTCTTCAACCTGATCAATGATCAAGGCCTCTTCCACCTTCTCCCAGCTGTGGGTGGCAATTTCATGCCCCTCATCCTTGTCAGCAGGGATCTTGTTTGACAAAGAGCCACTTGCTCTCCAAGAGGGCAATGCCAAGGTGACCAGTGGAAGGGCCGTGTATGCCGGTGCTTCAGTGCTCCACAAAAGGCTGAAAAGCCTGCGGGCCTGCGAGCTGGCTGGATTGCCTGCACCGTGTCGCTGGTAACCTTGGCCTTGCCCACAGCCATGTGAATGCACTCCTGGAGCAAGTCTTTGCGCGGGAGCCCACCTCAAGCTTCCTCTGCGCAATCTTGTCGAACCTTATGCAAGGCAAACAGCCGGCCCCAATTGGTCAAGTCTCCAACACACCTGAGAATTTGAATAACGTGTGCTGCTTTTGCCAAAGAAGCATGAAGTGCATGTTGTAGATGGAGGGTCGGCTTCTGAAAGCAGCGTCTGTTCTCGCCCGCAGCCTCCGAGCACTGGCTCTCTCTACTGAGGCCTGCGTGGGTTGGTGGTGGTCACCAGTCCTAACGCATCTTTGAATTTCAACGGGACCTTTGTCCAACACCGTCGGTGCTGGCCAGCTTGTCCAAGGTGCCGAGCTGGATGATGCCCGCTGTGAGGCCAGGCAAACAGACGAGCCAGTGCTCACAGTCACGGAAAATGGCTGGGTTACATCTGGGCCTGCGCCATCCCACTGGTACAGAACTTCCAAAGGGTACTTGGCAGTCTCATTGCTGTAGCCAGAACTTCTGCAGGTTTGTGCACACCCCATGAAGTGCATCGCATGGTGGCGCTCTGTGACCCATCTGCCACAAGCAATGCTCCCTTTCAAGCTTGAGCCAGCTGGCCTGTCTGGCCTGGCTTGCCTGTTTTCTGGGAATGCTGGCCTGATATGGAGCATCCTGAAGAACATTTGGCCTGCTTGGCCTGCACCACTGCGCTTGGCTGGTCGGCTGCTGGAATCTGCGCTTGCTGCCGGCCGGCCTTTGTGGCGCAGATGCAAGTTGAGCAGTGAAGCATCTCTGCGATGGATTTACTAGTTCGGCAGTTCTCGAGTGGAATTTCCAGCATCCGGGAGCCATCAAGTGGGACTTCCAGCCTTCGGGAGCCGTCGAGAGGGTTCGAGTTCCCGGCCAACAGATCTGAGGTGGGGCCAACTATAAGTCAGAGGGTTATTGCCAGAAAATGATCTGACACACCCACTGGGCCAATCTCCATCTGCAACTGCTTTGGGTTGCCCAGAAGGGAAGTGGGCCAATAGTTGATACCTTCTGGATCGTCAGGGCTCCAGCCGCTGATGGCCCACTAGTTTAGGGCAAGAAACAATTCAACCCTTTGAAGATCCAGGAAACCTTTTGAACACATTTTGAAGTCTAGGCTGGGACCCCCAAAGAGCTTCTGGACCACCACTTGGACAAGGGAAAGCGCCAGTCAAAAACGGCGGACCACAGGGAAACCCCCAAAGCACCACTTAACGAGCGACCACTTTGGCATCCCCAAAATAACCATCCACCCTTGCAAAGAGAGTCCTGCAGCCTCGCTACCTGGCTGTGGACCCGGCAGAAGAAGCGCCTTATCTAATCCAAGTCTATGCTGAGTGAGCCTGGCGCATAATATGTTACTCTGATTGTTTGCCCATTGACTTTGATGGGCGTGGAGCAGGAGCCCATGAGGGCCTACCGGGCAAACCCATGCAGCCCTTGCAGCAGACTGTGGCTGGCAGCAAGCTGTTTCAAATGCAGTTGAGAAAGCGTGGGCTAGTGGCAGCTTTCTCTACCAGATCCAGACAGCCAAGCGCTTTCAAGGAGGGCTGGCCTGCATGTTGCGTGTGACTCCATTGCAGCCAGAGCCGGCTGACGTTGGCATGGTGAACATTCCGATGTTGCGCAGGCCTTTCCGGCCACCATGTGAATCATCATCATTCCGCCAAACCAAGCTCAGCGTCGGACTGGTCGGCTGGGAAAGCTTGAGTAGGTTGCTGCGCATCAAGCCCTGTGGAAGAATGAGCTTCAGTCAAACGGAATGGCATCTTTTCTGCCGAGTCGATGTACAGCGACGAGCGTGACTTAGGGTTCGAGGCCTGGTTGAGAGATGTTACCCATTCCGCTTTGTTTTTTGTTTAACAGGTTGGGACTGCAGTGTTGATAAGATGCTGACCTGCAGGTCTGGCTTTGCTTGGAGAGCAGTGTGGCAGACCAGCCAAGCTCCAAACAGGTTTTTGGCTCCTCTATCCTGGTGAAGCGCAAGGCCATTCCAGAATGCAGCAGTCATCCATTGAGAACTACCTGAAGCGCCTCCAGTCTTTTCTGTCAGAGTCCACCACAGGCCAGGCCTGCAGGCTTGGTTTAACTTTAACTTTGCACTCCCCTTTATTCAACTTCTTTAGCCTAATTTCTTTAGCCCACTTGGTGTCTTGTAAAACACGGGGGTCAATCTGAGACAATTGTAAGACACCTAATGGAACCCTAAAACAAACAAACCCTTTCCACCTCTCACCACTGCAGGCTTTCTGCCCTTGATCAGGCCTGGTCAGGCCTGGATTGGCCTGGATAGGCCTGGATTGGAGCTGGCCAGACCAGGCCCCTGCTCATGTTTAAGATTGCTTGCTTCTACCTTATATATATGTATACATACATACGTATCTATATATATATATATTTATATTCAGTATATATGTACATACACGTGTCTCGCGTTTTTCCAGCATTAGCTGGGCATTCCAGTGTCACGAACCCGTGAAGGCTAAGCTTGGGTGGGCAAGAAGAAGGGAGCAGGGCTGCAAACCGTCTCTCAAGCTGGGTTTGAGGGGCCAGCTTGGGAAAGGGCGCGCCATGTGCCAAGTGACTTCGCTTTTGTGCCATGGTGCAACAGATCGGTGACCCAGATGCCTGACAATGGCCCCTCGTGTTTTTTTTGGAATCTATGCCAGCGCATTGCCTGGCACGCGCTAGGCTTTCCCGACATTGCCACCTTTCTTGCTTTCTATGCTTGTTGGGTGTTTTGTGCTTTTGTTGAGCCTTGTTCAGCGGCTTGTGATGGCCATTGTGGCCATTCCAACGTTTGGTTGGACGCTGAAATGCGTGTTGTGGCATCCTATCGTTTGTTTGTTTGTTTGTTTGTTTGTTTGTCTAGTTTTGCGTTTCAATCTTGTTGGGGGTCTTCCAGTCTGTGTGCTGGAGATTTCAACATGTGTCCGGGTTCTTTGGGAATTTAACTGTGCGTGCTGGATTCGCCGGTGGTTGCGATTGCAGCTTCTCGGGTTCTCCAGGGTCTGTGTTGGCACTCCAGTAGCGATCGGTGTCCTTGACTGCTATCGGATCTTTAGACTTCAACTTTGGGAAGTCAAGGGTTTTCCACTAAACCCCCAAAAGTTAAACTTTTTGCAGGGGGGTCAACAGCAACCAAGTGTTTGTGCTTGTGTTGGGTATTTGAACTGCTTTGAGCACTCCAATGCGACACCGCAGGATATGTCACCGTGCTGGACAACGCAGGCAAAAGGCGCAGACCCAACAACAACTCGATGCCGTCACACCGAGGTGCACTTCACAGATGCTGCGGCGAGCAAACTTGCCTGACGTGGAGGTTTAGACCGCCAAAACGGGAAACAAGCCATGCCCATGTTTTTGTCTCACGCAGGCTGAAGTTGCGGACAAGCTGAGAGCACTGGCGCGCTGACTAGGTGAGTGTGGGGAACCCGCGCGCGCTCTGGTTGAGCTGCTTGTTATGCTCAAGAGCGCCGAAAGTCCAGATGAGCGACCTGCCACCCGCAATAGTTTCGTTCTTGGACGGGCGTTCGTGGCAGGGAAGCGGTGGAAGAGGCGTGCTCGCGAAGAAGCAAGGCCAGCCTGTCAGCACGCGCTAGCAAGCTGGAAGTGGATTGTGGGAGGTCGCTGCTGTCCACCTCCTGACTGATTCCAGCTCTGGGCCGGCGCGTGACTTGATTGTTTTTGGGGTCAGCGAAGCGTAGCTGAGAAGCGGCGCACAGGTGCGGGGGCTCCCTCCGAAAAGCTTCGCCACCTAGGGCGCAGAGCAGGTATCAGCGAGACCAGGCGGCTCCTGACTGGATTCGGAAGTGGCGCAGCGGGAATTTTGCCCAGCATCTGTTTCAAAATTTCTTTCAGTTCACCCAGCTTGGGATCAACAGCGACGATCTTTCCAGATGTAAGAGACGAGCTTTGCTCGTCTCTCTTTGATCAAGCTTGATCTTGTGCTTCAAGGCAGTGTGTGCCTCAACATCAAGTTCACCGTTCTCTTCACCCGTTAAAATACAGGGCCCCTGAAAAGATACATTTTGCCACCAATTGAAACATGTTGTTTTTTCCGTACCAAAATAACGTTGGACACCAGCATTTACAGGTTGCAATCTTCAGGTGTTTTTCATGCATCCGGATCCCTGTGTCAAAATGTTTGCCCCAACCCAGTTGCACAGTTGCCCCGTAAAACGGAGACCTTTTTTGGGGTCAGGAGCATTTTTGGATCTTTGGTCGGGGAAGCCACGAAACAAATCAAAATTTGGACAAAATTTGGATGCCTGAAATAAGAACGGGGCAGCTCTGCCGCCCTCTGACACGTTGCGAGTCCAAAGCCGGCGCGGCCAACCCCCAGGTGGGCCTTGGCGGGGTGTTCTGGCGCCGCGCCCCTTGGCGCCACGAGCGACGTGGCGAGGCGGCCGCGGGCCGGGCCGTTTCTGCATGTTATGCTGGTTGGTTGCACTTTTGCAGGTCTATTTCTCTGTTTGCTTGGTTCTCGTGTTTGGCGTGGAGCGAAAAATGCAGTTCTATGCTTACGTGCCAGGTTGCGCCAAAGGTTTGCACCTGGCAGAGCTTGAAAACGCCAAGCCCTCGAGAGAAGTCATTCTTGGCAGTTGGTTCATGTGTTGGTTGGGCCAGATCCGTTTCCTTTGGGGCTCCTTACCAAATTAGCTAGTGTAGGGAAGGCTTCCGGTCCACATCCATTCAGCTGGCCCCTTTTGACCTCCAAAGCTGATGATTGTCTCAGGTAGATGGACAGAATGTTCAGCCAGGCAAGAGCGCCTTTTTTGAAATAACATGTGTTGCGGCTCGTTTTTGAACGCAGGGAGAGTTAAATCTAAATCACACCTAAACCCACCAGAATCCAACTACCCTAAACCTTTCGAGATTGATCCCCCTTCCGCTCAACCCAGGCTCATGATTTCCAATGCCCGCCAGCTTTGACCATCCACGGTTGGGCGATTCCCATAGCAAGAGGCACCGACGTTTTCAAGCCTGCAAATTCACCTCGTGTCTTTGGATTTGGTGCAAGTGGAATTCCCAGGGTGCAGAATTATGTTTACCCTTTGTTGTTGGTGAGGTTGTTGCTATAGTTGCGCACCTTCCAAGCAATAGTCGTTTAAGCCATGGTTTAAGAAGGGCAATTCGGGCCCGTCGGGCGCGTCGGGCCCGTCAGGCCCGTCAGGCCCGTCGGGCCCGTCAAGCCCGTTGGGCCCGTCGGGCCCGTCGAGCCCGTCGGGCCCGTGAAGTTCGTCGGGGCCGTCAAGGCCGACGAAAGAGGAGGCTATTAATTTGACGCAGTCGTTGACACGAGGCTGCCGTTGTCTGACAACCCACGCCAGGCACGCAGCAAGATCTGCCCAACTAGCCTACTAAAAGAATTATCGGGCTCATGCTCCCATCCCAGAAGCCAATGCCCTCCAAATCTCACCAGCATGGCCGCTCGGAGTCCACATCCCACCAGCGCGGCCCCGTTGACAGATCCCGCACCCATCGCACCAGAGATGCTTTTTGGAAAACAGGCGCTTCAAACGGGCGCTCTGGTTATGCTAGGCACATGGGCAAGCAGGTTCAAGCTTGATAGAAGCCAATACTGTTGTGCGCGTGTGTGCGCCTGCTCCACTTACATGCCCTGTTGGCCTACTCATCTTTCTATCCAGCCATCTGCCTGCCAATTCATCCACGCAGGTCTTTGTGCATCTATTTTAATCTACTTGTCTATTCGTTTGTGTCCATCCGAGTGTCCATCAACGCATCTGTGCATGTCCCAACCTATTTGTTTGATCCAATCTGCTCTGACCTATTCCAACCTAATCCAATCCATTTGCCTATCTGCCTATCTAGCTAGCTGTTCTCATGCCATCTAATCGATCTATCTCTCGGTTCCCTCTGTCTCTATCTTGCTTGCCTTCTATCTACATATCTCTCCTACCGATTTATTTGCGTATCTCTCTATGTATGTATCGGTCTACCTACCTATCTATCCATCTATCTGTCCATCTACCTACCCATCTTTCTTTCTGTCTATCTTTCTCTTCTTCAGTTTCATCTATCTGTCTCTGTCCATCTACCTATTTATCTATCTACCATCTTTCCAAGGTACTGTAACCCCATCCATCCATTTACCTACCTATCTATTTATCTGTCTTTCTATCTATCTATCTGTCTATCTATCGATCTATCTATTTATCATCCATCTATCTATCTATCTATCTGTCTATCTATCTCTCTATGTCTCCTCATCTTTTGATTTTTTTCAAAATGTCAACATATGAATCACCCGTCTACCGATCCATCTGTCTACCGTTCTTTCGATCTGTCTAGTTAGCCAACGATCTATCTTTCCGTTAAAGCCCGTCCAGTGCGTCCGTCGAGCCCGTTCTCCCGTTAGGTTGAGCCCGTTTCACACGCGAGGCCCGTCAAGCCCTGAAGCCGTTGGGCCCGTCAAGCCGGTCAAGCCCGTCAGGCATGTTGGGCCCGGTGGGCCCGTCAGGCCCCTCAGGCCCGTCGGGCCCGTCGGGCCCGTCGGGCCCGTCGGGCCCGTCGGGCCCGTGAACGGTGAGCGGCCGCTTCTCGGCAACCTCAAAAAGGCATCCATTTGACCTAAAGTCTTCTGAGACAAACCCAATTGGAAAACGGGCCTTCCGGATTTTTGTTGGAGTGCCTTCCGAAGACCAGGCACTGGTCACTTACAGCAAATCGGACCCATGGGCGGGTTTTTCAAATATGGCTGTGGGTCAAAACCCTGTACCCCTGGTGAACATCAAAATAGGTGGCAAATGGATGTTCATCCACCCCAAAATGGAACCATAGGATATGCAACCCATGGTCATATCCCGGTTGCTTCGTGGCTCCAAGTCCCCTTTTTTGTTTCCACAAAAGGGTGGACGCGCCTCGAAACAAGCGAGTGATGTCCATTGCATGTCCTTTTCAAGGAATCCCAAACAAGATTCTAATGGTACCTTCCCCACTCTTTCCAGGAATCCTTCTTTCTAGAGAGCCTTCAGACACCCAGGGAAATAGGCTGGTTTTTGAACAGAACGATGGTTGAAAAGAATGGGGAATCAACCCCTGAAAAAAAACCCTCCGAAAGACAAGCCCGTATGAACATTGAGCACGCCGAAACTGGGGTCGTTGTTTCTCCACACCCACCGCGCCATGGCAGTGCCAAAATGTCCTGTGCAAGTCTCAGGCTCTTGATGCGATAGCTCTGCAAATCATAGGACTCGCCAGTCCAGTTTTTGTGAAGACTCCGAAGATGAAATACAACTGCAACCTGTGTTTTTGTTTAGCCCCCCCGAAAGAAAATTGTTTTTCCTCTTGGTTGCTTTCCCTTTCTAGAGCCCCCAGTGCCCTTTTACCCTTTTTTGTGGGAGGCTTAAATCGGCTACAGAAAAAAGTTGGTACCCTTATTCTAACCTCTCTACTGGAGGACCTAGCTTTAACGGAGCCCAAACCAGTTGGCGCAAGAACCCCCACAACGACGAGCCACCGACAAGCCTCGGGTGGGATTTTGCAGGTGGAAGCCGCCACGGGCTTGCTGAAGTGCGGGGTCTGCCGGATGATCACGCTGGGCGGGGCCCCTGTGCGAGGCGGAAGCTCCATCTTCTTTTGGACCGAAACATCAGGGGCTTCTTGCCTCCAAAACCCCATGTGGTAAAAGGGAAGCCAAGAGGAGAACCGAAATTCATTTTGGGGGTCGCCTGAAAAACCACAAGGGCCCAAGATTGTTCCTTGCGCAATGTTGTAAGATGAAGCGGTCTTGTGTGTTTTCCTAGGTTTGGTTCGCTCTTGCTGGAAGCTGGTTGGCCCAAAAAGTCGCGTGATACTTAACATGAGTGGATGATGGAAGCTTGGATCAACCGCCATGGGGGTTTCTCCAAATGGTGCTTCGACCCCTCTTGGCTGGTAGGGAAACTAGAAGGACACCACCTGTAGGGCGCCGAATCCTATGTTAAGAAACACCCAAATGAGTGTGACGGGGCCCCCTTTTGGGTTTGTTCTAATGGAAAAACGAAAAGGACGCCTATCTTAGGGCTTCCGATTCCTTTGAGATGAACCCATGTGGGGTTCCAACGGAAAGTGACTGGCAGGCGAAAGGGTCCAAAGTCTCAGTTGCTTTGGCAGGAGGTTCTCCATTGCAACAAGTCCAAGGGAAGACCACGGGTTGGAGGCAGATGGCCAAGGATTGTTGATGGTTTTTCCCCAAGGAAAAACCAACGGGGGGGGGGGTGGTTTGGACAGGCAGATGGCCAATCATGGTTTTCCACAACACAAGTCCCACGCCCGCCAGCGGGCGTTTTTCCAACCCCAAGCGGGGCCAAATCACCAAAGGGGTCCGGGTTTCAACATCACGGGAAGTTCACCGAACCAACGGCAGCATCAATTTTTTCGTTCGAGTACCCTTTTTGCGTGGAAACCCCGAGGAAGTCCGCCGTTTTTTTTGGTTTTGTTCGTCTTTATATAAATATATACTAGGTCCCCCAGCTAGGTGCCCCTTTCTCACAAACTTGTTTGGGGAGGGTTCCCGTAAAATAGACTACAGAAAAAAGTTGGTACCCTTATTCTTAGCTCTCCTCCATGTCCCGCAGCAAGCTCGATCATAAATGAGGCATGCACTTAGCCCAGTGCCAACTTCGGATTCATCACGGATCCCACTATTCAGCGGGCTGGTCGATCAGTTCATGGGGAGCAATCCAAAGTCCTGGTATATACTGGGAGGGGGGGGGGCCTGGTAGTCCACCATCTTTTTGGTTTTGTTCTTCTTCACATATATATATATATATATTATATACTGGGTGCTTCTCTATATAAATGTATACATGTATTGGAAGAGGGGGGGGCTAAAGAAAGCCACCCACCTGGTCCGCCCTTCCTCGCCGGTTCCACCCGCGTGCCTTTCTCAGGTGCGGTGGACGGGAGCCGCCCGGGCGTCAAAGCTACGCCCGAGGGGGAGAAGTACAGCCCGGCGCCCGGCGAAGACGAGCTCAAGATGGCGTTTTTTCTTCTTCTTCTTTTTTGGGAGAAACACGGCTTCTGGTTTTTCCTGTTGGTGTCAAACTGGGGTTTCTTCTTCTTCTTCTTTTTTTTTGGGGGGGGGGGGCGGACGCCCCCCAAGATGGATTTCGGGGGATTTTCTTTTGGTGTCCGACCTTTAAACCCAACCAACAAATTGGGTGACCCCTCAAAAAGAAAGGACTGCCGAACTGGTTTCTAGGCGCCAGGTGCTCCATGGAGCCCCAAGAGCCAGAAGAAACGGCTGATTCGGCTCCAACCACTTGGGATCATAGGTGTCCTTTTTAGGTCCCCAGTAGTCTCTACTAAAACAGTCTACAGGAAAAGAAAAAAACGGGTACCGGCTTATTCTAACCTCTTTACTGGAGGACCTAGTTTTTTGTTTTGGTCGAAAAATAGATGGCGATTCCTGGTTTACCTGGTGGTTTTTCCTCATCTACCAGGGCCATCTTTTTGCCCCAAAAGGACACCTATGATTGGGATGCGTTTTCTTTTCAACTTTTTGATTCGGCTGCAACTTGAGAGGGAAGTGGGGTACCCTTGACACAAAAACCGCCAAGCTCCAGCATCTGGGCCCCGAGGTTCCCCTAGCGGGGGGTTTCTTCTGTGGTGCGTCTGTCCACTTATGTCTGCCTTTTGCCGCCAACAAAAGGCCCATGTGACGCTTGAGATTGCAGCTTCAGATCGATTCGCAACCTGAAATGCAGAACACCGTGGCCGTTCTCTGGCGAATTCCTTGCTGTTCGGCTCTCATGCCAGCAACCCTTGGGGGTTTCTGACAAAGAAAAAAGATCACATCAGCTCACCGAAAGGCTTGGTTGGACGTTTCGAAACGCGCCCATGCCGTTTTTTGTTGTTGTTTTTTTTTTTTGGGGGGGGTGCGGGGTTTTGGTGTGATTTTGGATTTGTTTTGGGGCGCGGTTTTGGTCTTTGTTTTGTTTTGCTTGGTTGCTCGCTTGGATTTGTTCGCGGGGGGTGGAGCTAACTCGCGCGCCGAGGCTACCGGAAGCCGGAGGAGCGGATTCGGAGGCGTTGTTTTTTTTTTGGGGGGGGGGGATTCAACGAGGTCCCTTCAACTCACCTTCATGCGTTGGCATTTTTTTGTTTTTTGTGTGTGTGTTTTCGTTGTTTGTTTTGTTTTTGGTTTGTTTGGTTCTGTTGGCCCACTGGGAAGTGAGTAAAGGATACCCGCCCTCCCACTTGCGGTTGGCTGCTGACAGGGTTCCTTTTACGAGAGAATTATCTTCCAAGTACCCAGGCGAAACTTCCGCTTTCCGGCTCTGCCGGGCTCTACGGGTAGATGGCATATTACCAAACAGCGGTGTGTGTGTGTGTATGTTTATGGAATCCCTGAAACGGGTAGGTACAAGGGGGGTGGGAGGGTTCCTGAGGGTTGTTTACTTTTCTTTGGGTTCCCGAAACGGGTTCCTTAGGGAAGCTTTAGGGAACCCCACTCCCCTCCTTGCACCCCTTGCCGTTAGGAAGCCGCAAGTCGGTTTCAGGAGGAGGCGGCGGCGAAGAAGCCGCAGAAGTGGATCCATGGCTTGGAACTGGACCCCAAGGCGCGATCGCGCGCGCGAGGGGCTTCGGTGCCCGAGCTGGGTGTCCCAGCGATTCAATGCTTGGCTTTTCTGCGGATTTTTTGAGGTGAAAGGAACCCCGGTCTTCAAGGTTTTTTCGGGACGCCTGGAAGACGATCATTGTTTGGTCCAGGATTTTTGAGGCGCCCAGATTCTTTGGGGAGGGGGTTCCTATTTGGATTGCGCTACGTTCGTGCCTTCGGCTTTGGGATTCGGAAGGGCCGTTCATTTCGCAGGGTACCTTGGTACCCTCCCAACTAACATGCGGAAACTGACTGAGGGGCATTTCTCTGGTAAGGGAAGCTAGCCTTTGTACGTAGAGCCAAAAGTGTGAGGCTCGAAGTCAAAGAGCTCGGGCAAAGCGCAGGTAGTCTTTGTGTGTCCATATACCAAGGTCTCATTTGGGTTTGGCCTTTTTTTTTGAGGGGTACCCTTTTTGGATAGTTTTTTTTTAGTTGGAAACCAAAAGGAAGCCTACCTGGAGGGTGTCCCCAATGTTGAGAAACGCGCAATATAAGTGCCCAGCATCATTTGAATGGCCTTGTAGGGGTACTGAAGTCAAAATCAACTTTCGTCATATACCAAGGTGCCATTTTGGGGCTTCCATTTTCTTGAGCCGCCCGAAAAAGTCAATGGCATAGGTGTCCTTCTTGGTTTGTTTGAACAAATCCAGGGCGATCCCTAGTTTACCTGGTGGTTCAATCATCGCCGCGGAAATGCATCGATGTTCCAAGGCCAGCTATTCTTTGAGGGTACCCTTCCTGGATGGTTGGACAATAAAAATGAAGCCACCTACCCGAAGGATTGTTCTCCCCAATGTTCAGAGGATTCTCCTTTTTTCTTTGAGCAGCCTGACAAAGGACTCCTCTGAATTTTCAGAGGCCCCCTTTCTTTCAGAGGTTTTTTTAAGGGTCCCCAATGTTCAGCGGATTCTTCTTCTTCTTTTTGAGCAGCCTCAAGAAAGTCCATGGGTCCTGGCCGCTTTTCTGGGAGTTGATTCCTTTCCCGTTCTTTTCACGCATCCTTCTTTTCAAAAACCGGATCCGTTTCCCCTGAGGTTTTTTGGATGGTTTCCTGAAAAGATTCGGATCCCTGGGTTAAGAATGGAAATGGAAGGTAGCCTTTGACTCATATGAATTTCAACTCCAGTGTATTCATAGGGGTGGGTGGGTGGGTTCTCTCCAAAAGTGGTCTGATTCCCCACTAAACCATGGACACCCTCCTATGAATGCACTGGGGTTAATGTGTAACGAGATCAAGAGCTACTGTGACAGCAACCATGCTGGATGTTTGCTTGCACGCAAAGCAACTACTGGCATTGTGTGCATGGCAGGCATTGTGTGAAGCATGCTTCAAACTTGCAGTCTACAATAGCATTGTCATCAGGGGAATCTGGAATAGGTGATAATCCTTTAGGTTAAATTTCAGGAAGAGACTGGGAGATTGATATGGGTTACCTGGGTTGATTGATATGGTAGCCCTACAGCTTTCGTTTTCCGTGTTTTTCGTGTTTTTTCCGCATTTGTTCGTCGCGTTTCTACGCAGGCCATGCCGGGCACGGCGGAGGACGCCACGCCGAACCCCTGGGCCAAGAAGCCGGAGACGGCCCAGGCGATGAGAACCGATGGCGTTTTTTTGGTTTGGTTTTGTTTTTGAGGAGGGTGGGAAGAGAATTCCCCCCACCCCACCCCCAAAAAAACAGGAAAAAGAAGAAAGGTGTGTGTGTGTGTGTGTGTGTGTGTTTCTTTGAGACCCTTTTGGGGGTTGGTTTAGAGGAAAGCCATCATTTGTGTGGCCAACTGCCGGCCGTGTTTCTTTCCATTTCGGAGGACCTCTACTGGAGGGGCTCCGATCCCTTGCACAGGACCAGCATGTGTGTGTGTGTAATATCCGAAAGAACCCATGTGTTCGAAGCTCAACATTTCACCCAAATGCCACGGGGAAGAAGATGACGCCCAAAGAAGCTTAAGATCTATATCACACTCGACCAGGCCCCAAGTAATGTATGAAAGGGTTTGTTTTGGCCACCTGGCATCGATCAAGAATGTTTTTCCAACCGGACATGTGGGTGCAAGGGAAGCCATGTTTGGAAGGGATCATGGGACGAAACTCTTTCGTTGTTTCAAGGCCCAATGTGCTCTACCTAGGCTCTCCAGTAAGTGGCATGATGATACTTTCAAGAGGAGCTTTGCGTGAAACCTGCAAGAGGGCCTTTTGCTACTTCCATTTGCTTAAGAATATTGTTCATTTTCCCTTGTTGGTTTTAAAAGGAATTTATCACTACTGGAAATATGTTTATTTTTTCCAGGGGTCTGAACCAAATGGAAGGCTACCATGTTGCCATCAAGGCTCCAAGCCATGTAATCACTGCAGGTGTGCTGGGCCAACTAGTTGTAACCACAGTCATAGTAGCATGCACAATCATGACTGCAACTTTCCAAGAACCCTCCAACATACCCCGGACGCCTTATGAAAGGAACCTATGCTCAAAAGGTATTTTGCATGTTTCTTGGAAACTTCTATCCTACTTAGAACGCAGTCTGCCATATCCCCCTCTCAGTGACTTCAAACATCACTTCGATGAGTTGCCCTTTGATTTGACCACTCTGCTGCAAATGAACATGCAACCCGAAAAGGGGGTCGCCAACACAGACTTCCCTACACATGAAAATTTGTTGCGTGTCAATCTGCAGGGGAGTGAACTTTTGAAAAGACTGTCTCCCCCCACGGGCAAAACAAGACTAAGGTCAATTAGAGAATCATTGTGGTCTCCCAAAATGCACAAGGAAGCCCACCCCCCCCCTTTGCAACCGCCTCAATCGAGCATTCCTGCAGCTCGCTCCCCTTTTCTGTCCACTTCTTTTTCTGGGGTGCAAGAGGGGGGGGGAGGGGGGCGCAAAAGCAAACCGAACACAAAGAGCACATTCTTGCATTCTTGACCCCCTTTCTTGAATGAAATCGCAACAATATGCAAGCGACCCGGTAAAAGATCCCTTTTCTCTCCATCCCCTTCTCTCTTTACAGCAGTCCAAGGCATGGCCAATTCACCGAATGGAGCACAAAAAACAAAAAACACAACTTCAATCCAGCCCCTTTTGCTTTAGCCATTTTTCTTTGGGGAAAACACCACAGCGACCAAGCGAATGGAGCACGTTCAGGCAGAGGACCTGCCACCGGAACGTCCAGATTTCTCGGGCATGGATAGGGCGCCTTTGCCTGTGAACTGCGGGGCTTGCGACTGGGTGGATCTACCTTTGACTGGAGACATAGCTGACACCTTTTTTTTTTTTTGTTCAGCCTTTTTCTCTCCTAAATTTCAATGCGGATGATGCTGGTGATGCAGGGTCCGCATCCCCCGCATCCCTAGCATCCTCAGCATGACCACTCACGCCTCCCGCATCACCTCTGCATGCATGACATCGTTCTTTTCCAGACCCCTCTTCCATGCCTGTTGCTTTTGGGATCTGCCCCTCTTGCATTGCAAATTGTTCGTTTGGGATCTGCCCCTCTTGCATTGTAAAGGTCGTTTCACTATACCTGGCACTTTGTCATCATGGTACAGTCACGGAACCTGTCTTTTTCGAGACAAGGAACCCAAAGAAAGTACAACTCACTGATCGCAAGCAAATTGAACTGGCTCGAGCTTGGTTCTCTCAGGTGCGAATATTGGCAAAATCACAGGTTTTGGCACAGTGCTTCTCTCTTTTCCACGCATGTCTTCCCGTGCCCCGAGCGAGGTCTTTGGAGGAACCCCATGATTTGCCATGAGGTTCAACGGGTTGAAAAAGGACATAATGTGCCCCTTACCAAACACGTACGTGTCCTTTTCAGGTTAGTTTGGTTAGACATAAAGTCGGTGGGTCCATCCAGAGAAACTTGTCTATTTTTAACAAATCGTCGCCTGCCAAACAGCTGTACAAACGGCAGGAATGGTTGCCTCAGTCAGGAAACAAGCAGCTAGCTGGTTTCTTCGAAACAGTAGCTCCTCACAGTGAGAAGCAGATAGCATTGAACAGAAACCTACAAGAAGCTGGGTTTGCCGTGTGGGCAAATGACGTCGCGACCCGATTTGCCAGCCGTTGAGGCCAGCCCGATTTGCGTGTGGTTTGCCCTGAGCATCACACTTTGGGCCGGCGAGTTTGTGGGAAGTGCTCAGTTGGATTGGGAAATTGATGCAATCATGCTTTCCTGTGAACTGCGATGGTTCTTTTGCGCCGGGGTTACACCAGGGTGCATGTAGACGAAACAATTCTGATTATGTTTGCAGGGGGATGAACCAACAAAGTATGTGGTCAACCAACAAAGTATGTGGGAAGTGTCTTGCACCCAACGGTCGAAGGAGTTGTCAACATCATTCCCCCAAACCTCCGAAGAAAGTTTGCCCACCGAGAGAAAAGAACAACATCGACAGATTCATAGGAATTATCAGCGAACCCCAAAGTTGTCCCACGGTTGGATCATATCGTCACCTGTGACTGATCCAAGGAAGAGCGCCGACGCTGGATGAAGCGTTTCGGCATCAAGTGCCTCGGTGAAGGGTCGGATTCATGAGATTTGTGCTGACTTCAAGCAAATGGTGAAATAGTTCAACCCCAAAATGGGTTGCCCTGGTAAAATGGAAAGGACTAAAATCTGGGGTCCAACTCCTGGTGAATGTGAGGGCTTCCGCAAAGGAAAGGGTACCGAGCCTCAACCACACGGACTGGGGTCCCTTGAAAGGAGGTGTGAGGTGTTCTAAAAAATATATGAAACATAGAACAAAGAGCGGTTGCATGTAAGTGCTTACCCTATGAAAAGACAAGACAACATGAAAGCAAACCGCAAATAGCGGGTAATTTTCCATGTTCAGGGGGCCCAACCACCTGACCTTTGATCTGAATTTCCACGGCTTTTTGGCCGACCACGGATCTGAGGCCCCATGAGATGCTCTCAGCTTCCGACAAGCTGCAGAAGGAGCGGGGAAAGCCTTCCGCACAAGCAGCCCCTCTTTGTAGCGGCTCAATGGAACACCGGATTGGCCAACCCTCTGGAGGGGGGTGTCCAAATTTGGCGCGCGGACCTCAACCCCGAAAGGTGGTCGCCAAAGAACGCTTTGAGAGTCCGCTTCTGTGGTCAGAGCGGAACACCCAAGGGGCGCAAGGGGTGTCCTCTTGGTTTCCCGTACCAAGCCGGAAAGAATACCCTGCGCCTCCACACGGTACCCTTTTTCACCTGAAGAAAAGCATCTTTCTAGGGGTTGATTCCAACCATTCTTTTCAACCATCCTTCTTTTCAAAAACCGGATCCGTTTCCCTGGGTTGGATGGTTTCCTGAAAAGATTCGGATCCCTGGGTTAAGAATGAATATGAATTTCAACTCCAGTGTATTCATAGGGGTGGGGTGTTTCTCTCCAACAGTGGGTTTTCTCCAAAAGAATGGAAATGGAAGGTAGCCCTAGAATAAGGGTCAACCTTTGTTTTCAATGTCCTTTTCAGGGGGTGGGTAAATCCCCAGACCACCTACCCCCAGAAAATCTTGGGACAGCCGTGAGCGTCCAAATCCAACTCCCGTCGTCACAGCACCAATGGGGCCAGGACAACGCGCCTAAGGAGAAGAAGGCCATGGGCGGTGCAAATCGGGGCAATGGAGCAACAAGAGTTGGACCCTTAATTCTTCCCCAGAATTAGCTGCCCTTTTTCATTTTTTTGTTTTTTTTGGGTCCCCTTTGCTTTCCACTAACCAGACAAAAAGTATCCAGCCTAGAAAAGTGGTGGTTCCATTCAGCTGAATCAGCACCAATTCTAAGCACAAGGCTTTTCAACATCCCAGATACATGGCCTGCCAGCACGGCAAGAATCCCCTACCTGGTGTCCAACAAAAGAGGGCCTATAAAAGATTGAGATTCAGATTCAGACCCAGATGGCCCTTTCAGTTTGGATGAACATGTTCATTACCCATCTATTCTCCGAAAGGACACCCATGCCTGGCGGACAGGAGTCCGTAGGGGACCAAGGGTATCTGTTAGTGCATTTCGCCACGTAACCAGCTGGATTTCCCCTTGCTACAGTGGTAACTCGAAGGACTGAGGAAACGGACAAAATGAGTTCTGAGTCAAGAACTGCAGGGAATACTCATGGTCGACATTGAAATGTTCCCCCTTCAAACATGATTCTGGATCCCTTCGAAAAGTAGCTGCACCCTCTTTAGTTGTTCTTTTAGTCCGCCTCAAAAAAGCCCAACATGGTCGTTTCCCTTTGGGTCGTCGTCTATACACCCAACCAAACATTTTTTAGGATTCCAGCCCAATTTGAACGGTAGGTGGAAGCCAAGACGTGGAAAAGGGGGGGAGGGTGAACCCCTCCCCCCCCCAACAAAAAAAAGACGGCATCCCAAAACGCGCCCCGTTTGACAAGAATGTTTGGCCCCGATTCGATTCTTTTCTCTCTTCCAATTCTCGGCTCGTCTATTTTTGCAACTCAGTGCAGGATCTTTTGATCCTGAAGCGATTTCACCAGATGTGCGTGCCACAAGTTCGGGACCTCAAGACTCGCTTTGGTTCAATCCTCAAGACTCGCCTTGGGAACATTCGCTTTTCTCCATGCGCGCCCAGCTACCAGTGATTTCTGCTTGGAAGTCTCATGCGGGATTCTCTTGAAGACCAGCTTTGGCGAGAAATGCACCGAACCAAGTTGGAAGCCGGTGAGCAGATCCTTGCCTGAGGACCCTAGGAACCCTGTGAGACTGGAGAAGTCTTTGACTCAACTTCTCCAGTCTCACAAGGTTCAAGGGGCCAAATGAAGACTCGCTACTAACAGGGTTTCTAAGGGTTTCTACTGGTTTCTACATGCACCAGTCAAAACAGTCGATTTTTGGCGATGGATCAAAATTCAGCCACCAGGGCACTGGATTGAGTCCGGGGCAACCCTGTGCCAGGGCAACTCATGTGCCAGGGCAACCCATGTTGGGGTTACCCGCTTTTTGAGCACCACCGCCCATTTTTGGGGCGTATCCTTCTTGACTGCTATTGGGTTGGATCTTTAGACTTCAACTTTTTGGGAAATCAAGTTGGGTTTTCTACTAAACCCCCAAAAAGTTGAACTTTTTGCAGGGGGGTCGTTGCGGCAACCATTCCATTGGAGGAGAAACGCCAGTCCTTGTACCATGTCAGCGAGAAGGAGAAGAAGCGGAGGACCGAAACGATCCGAAGATCCCAGGTCGGGTGTCCTCATGGAGAGTCTCTTTGTCTTGCCTTTTCCCCTTCCAAGTTTCCAGGTCGCTTTGGAGAATTGAGATCGTCTTCTTTTCTTTTTTTCATATATATCTATATATATGTTCAGGAGAAGAAACTTGTTCATTTGTTACATACATATATATAAAACAATATCATATACACCGGAGAACTTAGATAGTCTTTTTTGACACATCTATATATATATATATATTGCATATTGCATACACGCATTTCTGAAAGCACCGTTGCGCAATGAGTCAGATCGGTGCAGCTTACCGGCTATGCTCACTCAGCACGCAAAACCTTTGGTTGGAGTTCTGTGTTCAGTAGCCATTTGGATCTATATCAAGCAAAGAGCACACACAGCAAACAGGAACTCCCGTGTTTGTTGGGCAAGCACTTGCCCTCTTTAACTTGCATTTGCCGTGTTGCTTGGAGAAAGATTGGGGCGCAGTCTTGGATCACGGTTTTTGTCCTTGGATGAAACAAAATGAGAACCGCCCTCGCCCGAAACTTACTGGCCCGAGTACTCCCCCTCACCCCCCATCATGGTTGTTGTTGTTGTTGTTGTTGTTGTTGTTGTTGTTGTTGTTGTTGTTGTTGTTGTTGTTGTTGTTGTTGTTGTTGTTGTTGTTGTTGTTGTTGTTGTTGTTGTTGTTGTTGTTGTTGTTGTTGTTGTTGGGAAATCCAACCACTTAACTGCCAACAAATGGAATTTGTGCTCCCTTTCCAACGTCAACCAAGCCATGCCCCCCCGCCCCGAGCACCCATGGCCAGGAAGACCGGGGGGGACGGGCACCTGCCCTTCCACGCGCGGGAGCGGATGCAGGCGGGCCGCGGCTGAGAGAGGCGCGAGCTCAGCCGGCGAGCTCAGCCGGCGAGCGGCGAGCGGCGAGCGGCGCAGCTGCGGGCCAGCTGTTGGGGAAGAGACTCACGCCGCGAGGCACGTTGGTGGCTGGGTGTTGGTTCGTTTGTGGGTTTCTTTTTCTTTTTTTTACTTCATACATACATATATATATATATATATGGTACCCCCCCTGGAATACTCAGGTTTTTGGCCAGAAATTGACATTTTGGCTGTAAAAATGCATGCAAAACACACGTTCCAGCTTCTAAAAAATAGGCTCCAAAAATGCACTCCGTTTTAGACTTAAATTCTAGCATTGGTACTTAGGTCAATCCAGGATGTGCTAGCACGTGCTAGCACATCCCGGATTGAAGATTGAAGATTGAAGATTCTGAGACCACTTGTTCTGGAAATCTTCAATCCATCCTTAGGACAAACTGATATGTGCTAGCACGTGCTAGCACATCCTGGACTGAAGATTGAAGATTGAAGATTCTCTGACAACTCTCTCTGGGATTCTTCAATCTTCAATCTTCAATCCAAGATGTGCTAGCACGTGCCAGCACATATCAGTTTGTCCTAAGGATTGAAGATTTCCAGAACAAGTGGCCCGAGAATCTTCAATCTTCAATCTTCAATCCAGGATGTGCTAGCACGTGCTAGCACATCCTGGATTGCCCTAAGTACATATTTGGAGAATTTCAGAAAGACTTGTCAGAGAATCTTCAATCTTCAGATCCTGGATTGCCCTAAGTGCAGATTTGAAGAATCTAAAAGGCATACCCGGAGTGGACGTTGTCAGAATGAAATTGTGGATGTGCACTTGCACTGCCAAGCACCTGCATTTGGCCAGGGGGAAAAATGTTGTTGACATCTTTACAGGTTTTGTGTGGACTTGAGGGCTGGCCAGGATGGAAGATTCTCAATGGAAAATATAGTAGATCTTCAATCTTCAATGCAGGGGGCAAAACCTTAATGAGTCTAGAACAAACTGTCAGGTTTTTAGGGGAGCTATCTTCTCCAGTTGATTTTTGAAATCCACAAGGAACTCCAAACGAGTAAACTTGAATTTGGATTGAACTCGAAAGCGTTTTAAACTGGATATCCTTCCCTTACTTGAATTTCAATACTTGTTATTGGCGATGATTGAACCAAGTTAGACAAGCAACACACACACACACATGGGATAGTTGCTTTGCAACATATGTTTCAATTAGACTGAACTGGCATGTACATGGAATTCTGCACAACACCCGAGTTAACATGAAAATGCAACTGCGCAAGGACATGAAGTAGGAATGAGTTCCTTTTCCCCAAGTTGATGATTTGCTGAATTTCGCTGCCAAACCGGGAGTGCACGTTGTCAGAATCAAATTGTGGATGTGCACTTGCACTGCCTGCATTTGGCCAGGGGGGAAAAATGTTGTTGACATCTTTACAGGCTTTGTGTGGACTTGAGGGCTGGCCAGGATGGAAGATTCTCAATAGAAAATATAGTAGATCTTCAATGTTTAATGCAGGGGGCAAAACCTTAATGAGTCTAGAACAAACTGTCAAGTTTTTAGGGGACCAGGATTGAGGATGTTCTAAACATATGTTTGTGGAATCTTGTATACTCGATCTTCGATCTAGGGCAACACGATCTGAGCAAATGCTGAAAAACACTGCGTTTTACAGCATTTATGCCAATAATAAGATCTGTGATTGAAAGCACGTTCCAGGCAGTGGCTTGGCTTAGTTCTTGCTTGGTTCAAACCACATGGAGTTCGATAAGGACAATCGCCATCTTCTCCAGTTGATTGTTGAAATGCACAAGAAACTCCAAACGAGTAAACTTGAATTTGGTTTGAACTCGAATGCGTTTTAAACTGGGTATCCTTCCCTTACTTGAATTTCAATACTTGTTATTGGCGATGATTGAACCAAGTTAGACAAGCAACACACACACACATGGGATAGTTGCTTTGCAACATATGTTTCAAACAGATTGAACTAGCATGTACATGGAATTCTGCACAACACTCGAGTTAACATGAAAATGCAACTGCGCCAGGACATGAAGCAGGAATGAGTTCCTTTTCCCCAAGTTGATGATTTGCTGAATTTCGCAGCCAAACAAAAATAAGAAACACACAATAGTAGAGCTGCTACAGGCGCATTGAGGCTGCCAAAGCATACTTCGCGCACTACTCTTGTACTGGACAGTTGTGCTTTTTGAGCTGGAGCTGCCAAAGTGAACTTTGCATACTCCAATGTGACTTTAAGTGCACTTCGCGCACGCCAATGTGACGGTCACACAACTCGCAACTCCTTCAACGTTGAGCTTAACTTCTGCTTGGTTGGAATTTGCATGGAGTTGAGCGTCCAGTCAGTTCATTTCAGAGTCGCAAGGAATTTGTCACCCCCAGTCTGGCAAAAAGAACCTCAGTTCTGGCCCAAAACCTGAGTATTTCAAGGGGGGGTAGCATATATATATATATATTATAATGTTTAAAATTGTGGCCAGATATGGCTTCATGTGGCAAGCGAAAATGACGCTTTGTGTTTTACGATCGTTTGTTGCTGGGTATGCTGAACGCCTCACTTCCAGAGAGTGGGGATTGCCTGGCTGCGATACCGGGCAAAAAACGCCGGCCAGAAGGACAAGATGTCTTCTCCCGCACAACGCTTGCCCCTCTCTTAAGCCCTTCGGTTTAGCAAAGTGCGTCCTTTGATACCCAAGGGGGTGGTTTATAAGGGAGTTAAGGAGCCTGTTTCGATGGCTTCCTCGTTAGACGCCAGTCACCAGGTTCCCCCGGTATCACAGGAGGGCTTTCCAGCCTTCCCTTCACTCGCCGCGTGCTCACTCGCCGGGCGCCAAAAAAAAAAGAGAAAAAGGCGCGGCGCGAAAGGAGCAAAAGGGCGGCGCCGGGGAGTTTGCCAGTCGTCATCTCAGCTCGCATCTCATTCATCTTGTCTTTCGGAAGGGAGGGGAGGTGTGGAGAAATGGACCATGCCTTTAAAGGCCGGACCCCTGGCTTGGGGGTTGGGGGTGTCCAGTCAAGACGGTTGAACCAACTTTTTGGGGGCCAATCGAAGTCGACCGCCTTGGTTCGGGACGGTATGAGACTCCTGCCCACGCAGGACAGTGGCCATCGGCAACACAGATCCAAGGACTGTGCGCTGGTTGACTTCGATCAGTCCAATCCACTCCTAGGTCCCCCAGCTAGGTGCTTTTTTGCCTTTTTTTTTGGGGAGGATTCCCCTACCAAAATAGACTACAGAAAAAAGTTGGTACCCTTATTCTATCCTCTCTACTGGAGGACCTAGACTCTGAGCGAGAGAGAGAGAGAGAGAGAGAGGGTTGGTTGAATGTCGCACCTTGTGGATTGGGTGGAACTGCTCCAAATTGAGAGAGGTTCCTCTCCGCTTTTTATGTGAGGCTCGGGTCCTACCCCCTTTTCTCTGACCATTCAGGGGTTTTCTTTTTTCCCCAACAGCTGAAAGCTTTGGGGTCTCAGCCCAGATAGGGTCCGGGGTGGTCCGGGGCGGTTTTGAGGTAAGGTTCCACGAGGGTTCCACGAGGGTTCCACCAGAGTTCCACCAGGTTCTGCAAGGGCTGCGGGGTGGTCCGGGGTGGTTTGAGGTAAGGTTCCACGAGGGTTCGACCAGGGTTCCACCAGGTTCGCAGCGGGGTGGTCCGGGGGGGTGTGGGATGGTCCGGGGCGAGGTAAGGTTTCAAAGGGTTCCACAGAGTTCCGCGAGGATTCCACAAGGGTTCCACAAGTCCAAAAGGTTCCACAAAGGTTCCGCAAGGGTCCATGGTTTGCCCTAAAGAAAAACAATGTGTCGTGCGCTCGTCGTCTGCTCAGAAGATCGCCTTGCTCATGGGCGGAACGCTAAGCAAAACCGAAGTTCATGGTTCTCAGCACACTTTCAATGTTTTGTGACTTGCTCACTTCTTCAGGCAATGCGGCCCGAAATGTTGGCTTTGTTGCAAATCAGATCACGTTGCTGCAGGACTCTCACTGCGCAGCAGAGTAAATGCTTGGCATTACTGAGTATTACTTTGGCTTTGGGTTCCAAAAACGCTCCACGAGGTTTCCACCAGGTTCTGCAAAAGCTATGGGGCAGCCCTGAGGAAAGGTTCGAACAAGTTTCACGCTGAGTTCCACGAGGGTTCAACGAGGACGGTTTGCGAGGTTCACCGGGCACAGGTCGGGCGATGCGCCGTCGGGGCCCGATTGCACCGTCGGGGCCCGATCGGGCCCGACTGCGCCGTCGGGCCCCGATCGGGGCCGGACTCAGTCGGGCCGCGTCAACTGTACCAAGCTGGCATGGCCTAGTTTTGCTGGATACAAAAAACCGGCGTTGAGCTATAATATGTGGCTGGGGTTGGTGGGAGCCCGCTTGCAACACGGGACCATCGGGCCCCCGGTTGGGGCCCGATTGCGCCGTCGGGCCCCGATCAGGGCGCGATTGCGCTGTCACTCTTAGCTTTGCTTTACAAAGTTACAACGCGGCATCCTCAGCAAAACCGGTCGCGGGGCGTTCTGCGAGGCTTCTGGGAGGGTGTGGTGCTGTTATCGCCTGAGCTTATTTGTGTTTTGCAGGATCAGAAACAGAGAAGACTTTCCCGTCACTGAACGAGTCCCGAGTCCTTTTGATGTGATCGGTGGCCCACAGGCCCTTTCGAAGGGAACTTGACCGGAATTCCAGCTGAACATCTGGAATTCCAGACCTTCAAGAAGGGCAACTGCTCAATGGTTTTTCTCAACCCCAAGGACATTGATGTCACTAATTTAGTTTCAAGTCAAATAGTATCTCAATCATCGATGCAGTAATTTAACACGTTCAAGCAAGGCAAATACTAGAATAAAGAGCTGTCAAGGGCTTACATAATTATATCAAATTATATCATACGAAAGAACCACATAATCATAAGAGTCATATTATATCAAAATTTAAATGATATATAGTCGTAAATATGCCATAGAACAATGATATATAAAGAATTG